AAATTCAGTAATGTATAATACTAAAATTTGAATTATAATCAACAGTTTGATACCAAACTTGTCATAAATTCATAAAATAGTAGTTCAATAAAATTTTGAATGCGAGTCAACAAACACGACGACACGCCCTTTGACCCATGTGGAGAGGGTTAAATTCAAAACAAAATATTTAGATAAATTTCAATCTTCTCTTCTATGTGTGATGTGTTTTAATCTCCAAGTTGCCCAATGTAGATTTTCTTTCTATTCTTTAAAATATCCTGTGTCCAACTAATTACAAACATATACTTAGTACTGAAAAGCCAGAATATGAAGTTAGAGCTTCCAATTTTCTTGCTTTACTGAGATATAATAAAAAAATGTTAAACCCACACAACATGCCCCCTCCTATATAATTGTTTAATAAAGTGTCAATAACTATCCATTTGTTGCTTATAAGTAGATATACAGCCTCAGTTTCATTGTTCGTAATTGTAGTGCTCAACTCAGAGCAGCTAATGAAAATTAAGCTATTTATAGCATAATTATAAAGCCACTTAAATTATAATAGTTTTGGGAGATTCTGTTCTTGTGCCCGATATATTTTTGTGTTCTAAGATGCATATTTGAAAGGAACATTAAGAATTCTGTGGAAAACCAACACAGTTACAAAGAATTAGGGTTAGAGTGCCTCACCGTCAAAAGAAAAAGGCCTAAGTACAGATGTAAGTATTAAATTTCTTGCTTTTTTTATGCTTATTTTTTTATTTATTGGTATTATTATTATTATACACTTTTAACAAAAGTTAATAAAACAGAAAAATTAGAAACTTATCAGGCTAGATGAAAAAACTTAAAAGAAAAAAAAGTAAAACAAGAACTTTCTGATCATGCTTGATATCCTACTTCGAGGCACCCACACACACACAGCATGGCATGACTATAACTTGACTTTTTGTTTACACTAAGCTGTTCTGCTGTGAAAAACGTTTTTAACCTGCACCTAAGATAGTTTAAGTAGCTGTAAACCAATAAAACTGCATGAAAGCAGATGTGAAAAGGGTAGTAGCTTAGAATAAATAATTGGAAATGTGGTTACAATCAGCAGTCATTCTCGAAAGAAAAAAATTGAATTTTTTTTATTATACTTCGTATGTTTGATGATGTTACTACAGTTAGTGTTAGGGAAGAGAAAAATAAAAGATAAAATATGTGTGTATAATTGATACCTGGTATGTGATGATGTTTTTACTGGCGAAACCGTGGTCGTAACAAACGATGTATTTGTAAAACATACAATTGTCTCGTTTTCCTCAATTCTATAAAATATATAGTTTTACTGAAAGCAATTTTGATATTCACATAGGATGTTATAGAATCTATGAAAATTAAATATGAAAACTGTAACATGAAAAGTAGTATTTTTTTAATCTTAACATGAAAATCACCTTGCACTCAGAAAAAACTTCTGAAATTCATAGCATGATCACAACTTATTTGCTTATTTACACTAAACTGTCCTGCTGTGGAAAACATTTTTCACATACTCTAAGATGATTTAAGTACAGCTGTAAATTAATAAAACTACATCGGCTAGTAGCCGATTCTTGAGAAATTCACAGAGAAATCTTTCATAAAAATACTTCATTAACAATTCTGATTTTTTTGTGTGCAACAGACTTTAATGTTTACTAAAAGCTTGCCAAATCTTTGAAGGTAATTTAGTAATTTCAAAATTATAGTAAAAATTACTAAGTATAGTTTCACAGGAATGGGGTTAAGCTAACCTTAGAGCAAGAATAGTTTAAAACAATGTATACAAGTTCTACATAAGCACAGAGGCATACTATATAAAGTAAGTTTCCAATGTACTATACAGAGATTTCCACATTAGTTTATTTAAATTTCAGACAACCAGCCAGTACCATTTCTTTCTTAACTTTGAAATGTACAGTTGCATTCATTATGTACAGAACTCAGACAGTGATAACATCAAATATACAAATATATTGTTTCAAATGGGGTTTAAAATATACTTACAGTCTGTAAGACAGCACACTGACCACTAGCCGCAGCATAATGGACAGCAGTAAATCCCCGACTATCTCTGAGACTAGCATTTGCACCATGATTCAAAAGACAGGAGACGCAGCTGCAGAGAAAACCATCTTGCAATGAAACAAGGGAAAAATATAACCAAATATAAAGTTCAAAACTTAATATATTATAACACATAAAATGTTATAAAAAATACTTTCAATATTTTAAGATACTTTCCTTGGTTCATTCAATTTCTTTACATAATAAAATATAGTAATCTTTTTAACTTAGACTGAGAGTTGAGTACATTATATCAAATGGTTTTGAATACCTAAGTCACCAAGTCACATGATAACCATAGCCTATACAAAGTCATGGTTGACCAGAAAGTATCAGAACTCACACACTGTTTGGTATTTCGTAGGTAGTATGATGCCTCCTAAAGTTGACCAATTTTGGGAAGGATATGTAACAGCCCTTTCTGACACAAGATATTCGTACAATTAGATCATAAAGATGTGTTCAGATTAGTGATTTGAAATTTACAAGAAAAGAATATCCCTTGCATTGAATGACATTGGAAAACAAATGAATATGGATCAACCTGGAGCACCACCACCAGGACCACCCAGAAAGTCATATCCCAGCTTTGGTATGAAAACTGCAACATTTGTTAACATGTGGGAATTCATGAGCACAAAGTTGAGTGGAAAGCAATCCACATGCCCCAGGCAACAGTACACAAGATAATAAAGATGAGTCTAAAAAAGCAAGAATTTTTTTTTCAAAGGAATTCATATCATCACTGGATATTGTGCAAGGACCAAGTTATGGACCCTTTGAACCACACAAAAATACTGGCTTTTTTATGGTAATGAGCAAACAGGGTATAAGTTTATCAAGATAAAGTTTTCATTTATACCTCCTATTCAACTGTCACATATCTCAAGCAGCTGGAGAATGAGATAGGTATTTATCTTAATCATTAAAAAAACATAACAGTCAAGTCACTGGATTTTTGTGTGATTGGACATTTGAAATGGGTACTGCAAACAATGTTGTCTTCATACATAAAATGGATGATGGAAAGCCAGCATGGAGGAATAGAATGCTTTAGACATTACAAACTTATGATGAAGCCTTTTGCAATGGAAATTCCACTGCAGGGCTATAGTCAAGATGCACAGTCATCCTATGGAGAATTAACAGATGTAGCAACAGGGACTGTAATGAAGTGGTTAAGCTCCAAAAATATTTTAATGTAACAAACTTAACTCTCTGTAAACATTAAAGTATTTAATAAAAGTATAATATAGAAAATTTACATGTTTTTTATTCAGAACATTAATGAAGCAAGCTATTCAATGGCCAGAGTAACATCTTAATTTTAACAGCTTGGTACACTTTCATGAATTTCCCTTAGATGCTCTCATCAAACCAACCATCACAATAATATTGTATTAAAACAATCATACTTAAACACATTATACTTCAGATTTTTTAGTTTTTCTTCAGTTATAAAAATGACATTTATAAAGTATACAGTTTTAGCAACACTGGTTGTGGAAAACTTAATTAAATATTGTTTATCAATCAACGTTTTTTTAAAATTAAACACAAAAATTATTATGTTAATTAATACTTGTTTAAAACAATTAAAATAGGATGAAATGTAGAAAAAAGCACGCATTTTCAGCCTTAAAATAAAGTAGGTATTTTATGGAGCTCTATCCAGACTAGTGAAACTTTTTTACACTTTTGAACTGAGGGAGCATTGTACAATCTTTAATAACTTTGAATGAACAAATAGTACATTAATTATGCCAAACCGTGCTAGCTACACTATAAACATGAGTATTTGTACTACCAGTTACAAAAAAGATAAAAGGATATTACAGTAATTAAACAAAAAAATTATGCACATAGGATTTAATGAAAATAATTACAAAATACAATTCATTATGTCTAATTATGTGAAACTTAATACACATCTTCCAAAAATACATAGATAAGTGGTGGAAAGAAAAACAACTTAGAACATCTATGCAGCAAAACCAATCACACTTTTTTTGCTATTTATTTAACTTCTGTTCAACTTACCGGCCTTCGGCATCAGCAGAGGCAGCATAATGTAGAGGTGTACATCCTTCGAGATCTTGTTGGTTGACAGTGGTACTGGCCTCAAGCAGAAACACAAGACACGAATAATGAGTCTGACTTGATGCATAGTGAATAGGAAGCCTGTGGAACAAAAAAAAAAGATTTTAATTACGAAAAACAACTCATAAACACTCACTTGGTTTCTCCTACGTTACAATATTTCTTCTGTAACGAAACATCTTTAGAACAATCTTTTGAAGAAAGAAATAATTATATTGCATATACAGAATTAACTTCAGCACACGTTCTGGTGTACAAAACAATTTTAAATGGAATTTTTAGACAGGAAATTATTTTATCATAATCCAGATATACTCATTACAAAATGAAAAATAAATATATTTTACTAACATTCTTTTAAAATGGGAACCATGTAAGATATAAACTATGACATTCATAACACAAAAAACAACAACATGATTTGTTATTTCTATCAGTTTTCTATAGCTGTGGTTAGAAAATATAAGGGCTGATATGGTGTATGAACTTGTTCAAAATTCTCTTCACAATTTTATTTCAACTGTAAAATTCTTACACAGATATTTAGTTAAATGTTGTTTGTTAATTAGCACAAAGGTACACAAAGGGCTATCTGTGCTCTGCCCATCATGGGTATTGAAACCCAGTTTCTAGTGGTACAAGTCTGTAGAATTCCTCTATGCCACTTGGGAGGAGGGGGGTATTTAAGTTAAATAAAAATGCCACAATCTCTGCTTAGCACATGCTAATTTGCACAAGTGTATATAATATACTGATCACTTTTAGACTAGATAAAATAAGTTCCTATGCAGTAAATATTAAACTCAAAACATATTGATCTTCTTCAGTGGGAAAGATTAAACATTACAAGTACAAAATGTTTATACAAATATTGAGTCACTGATTGGCACCACAGAAAAAAAATGTGTCAAAGTTTGTTAAACTTTTGTCATATCATTCTTTAAGCAGAATAATTTATTTTCTTACTTTCAATACCTTTTAAATAAAAACTTAAGTCTTTTAAACTTGTGAATCTGAAATTTGTTAAACATATATCTTTAGAAAACATTTAAAGCAAGATTTTAAACATTTACCAAATTTGATGTGCATGAGAACTTTGAATTGTTACTACAAATCACACCACATGTCTTATGCTTTGCTATATGCTGCATGTTTGAATTATACTAAGAATACAATGACAGATTAAATGTTTTTTTTTTAGTTTTAAGACAAAAACATAAGAGGGCACTGTATCTGAATGTTGTAACAGTAGGTATTAACACTTTTTTATTTGACACATGTATGTTTATATATGAATACAATAATTACTTTACAAAAGTAAATAAAATCAGAAAAATGACCAATCATTACTAGAAATTAAAATAAAATATTACTATACTTTCCATGTTCCTTAATGTTAAAAACATTTTGCTGTTATTCCTATATTTAAGAAGATTCACTATAATGAATATGGATCAGTTCAACCAGACAGATGGAGGCTCAAAATTTGGACAACACTGCACCATGTGTAATAAGCATGTATACCAGCATGTTTATATATATATATATATATATATATATATATATAA